GATGGGGGGCGGGGGGGGGGGAGGGGGGGCTTCCGAATGTCTGCGCCCCTCCTGGGCGCAGATGGCGGCTGGGCCGGGGCAGCTGCGGCTGGGGGGGACTCTGCGCTCGGTGGCTCCAGCAACCGCGGGCGCAGCTGGCAGCAACGCCGGCCAAGCCGGGCCGGGAGCCGCGCCAGCGCTGGGCTGCAGCTGCCGCTCCCCCCCCCCCCCTCCTCCGGGGACGGCACCGGCTGTGCCCACGGTGCTGCCTGCCCTCCCGTCCCCGACATCCCGTTTGTTTTTCCCCATTCCTGAAGGTGTCCAACCTGGCCGAGCAGCTGGAGGAGCGGCTCTTCCAGCTCTACAGTCTTCACAACGAACTGATCCAAGAAAGGCTGCAGGAGCTGGCAGAGGTGATGGAGCGAGTCCGGCAGGCAGAGGACGAGCTGCAGCAGGTCTGCCACACCGTGGAGGCAGCCTATAGGGACCTGTGCCTGCAGCCCGAAACGTGAGCACGGCCCCGAGCCCACAGAGAGCCCTCAGACCTCACAGGGAGCCCCCAGACCCCTCCGTGGGGAGCACTGGGTGCAGCCCCCCCCCCCCCAGTCCGGCAGGCATTCCCAGTACGTTGAGCCGGCTGCTCCTTTAGGAACAGAGAAACGGGGACGTCAACCCCAAAATTGCCTTTCCCGCAGGGTGTTGGTGTTTGGTTTTTAACGCCATTCAAATAAAAGATCGAAAAACAAAACAACCAAACGCTGGAATGGCCGAACGTTTGGGTTCCTGCACCGAGGGCACGCGGCAGAGCCAAGCCCCGTCGCCGTGATGCATCCCCGGAGGAGCCTGGCACTGATGAGCAGGCAGGGGTGGCGTTTCCACCCTTTATTGTGCGCGGTGAAGGCACTGAAGCAGGCTGCCATGCCCGGCAGGTGGCACTGCGTCCATTCGGTGACACGGCGGCCCGTCAGCGTGGCGCCGTTCCCTTCCACGCGGCCAAAGTCCATCGGCACGCCGCCGGCCGTCCCTAAAATCCACCGGTGCCCCCCATCCCAATCCCTACCCGCGCTGCTCCGTCTGCTTGCCAGCTGTGAACGCCTGAATCCCGGTGATGGCCCGGCCCAGAATCAACGCGTGGATGTCGTGGGTGCCTGCGGCCGTGGGATCAACTGTCAGCACGCAGCGACACGGGGGGAGGGGGGGGGGCCACCAGCCCAAATTTTCGGGGGTACCTTCATAGGTGTTGACGGCCTCCAGGTTCAGCAGGTGCCGGATGACGTGGTACTCGTCGCAAATCCCGTTGCCCCCCAGCATATCGCGGGCCTGACGGGCGATCTCCAGGGCTTTGCCGCACGAGTTGCGTTTCAGCATCGACACCATTTCAGGGGCCGCCCTGAGGGGGGCGCAGACCCTCAGCTGCGCCCCGGGGAGCCTCGCAGGTCCTCAAATCTCAGGTCCCCAAATTACAAGTCTCCAGATCGCAGGTCCCCAAATTGTAGGTCCCCCAGGTTCCCCCTCGCAGGTCCCCCCACCGCAGGTTTGTACCAATTGTAGGTCCCCCTGTTGCAGATATCCCCATTGCAGGTCCCCCCACCGCCCCCCATTGCAGGTCCCCCCATTGCAGGACCCCCCACCGCCCCCC